TTTCTTGAGATAACTCCGAGTAATTTCAATATTTCGTTTCCACTCTTGAGATAAGCTTTTCATTTGAAGGGACTTAGTATTTTGATCGATATCCACAGTATGAAGAAGTAACTGTTGCTGGCCAGAACTCTTATTGGTGGAAGAGTTCTTTCGGCGTTGAAGCAAATCTAAGCCACATCCAAACGTTTTACCCAATTTTTCTGCAAAGTAGAAATAAAGTGCCGAAGATATTCTTCCAACATAGAATTGAAGCGCTTTGTCTGTCCGTCGATTGTGGACGAAAACTAGAACTCATGTTCAAAGTTGAACCAAGAAGTTTGAACAACTCGGTCCAAAATATGCCAGTAAATCGAGGATCCCGATCACTGATGATGTCTTTAGACAATCCTCGGTATTTGACAATATATTTGAAGAAGAGTTGAGTCATCTCTTCTGCTGATACATACTTGGGAGTTGCGATGAAAGCTGCGTATTTTGATAGACGGTCTGCCACGACGATGATTGTGCCAAAATCTCCAACTTTTGGCAATTTAACAATGTAGCCTATCGATACACTCTTGAATGGTATAGTTGGGACGGAAAGGGACTCAAGCAAGGCTTCCTTTTCTTTATGATACGTCTTATCTTGCTGACAAATAAGATAGATTTTGACGTAAGTTGCAATATCGTCCCGCATTTTAGGCCAGTAGTATACATGTTGTAATAGTACAAAAGTGCATTCATCTCCAGGATGCCCACCAATTCGTGTCTAGCATTCTTTAATTAGTTATTTCCTCAAGTCTCCGCCCTTAGGAACATATAGGCGGTCTCTCTTAGTCTTCACTAGGCTCTCATCGAGCCAGAACTGACGAGTTTTGCCCTGCTTGATGAAGTTGACCAAATATTGAGTAGTCGGGTCCTTGTTCAAAAGTGCACGAATTTGGTCACTTATATTTGCGGTAACAATGCTATCTGAAAGAGCAATCATAGAGAAAATGGTGGCCAAGTCGACTCGACGACTAAAAGCATCGACAACATGATTACTAGATCCAGGACGATACTCTAGCATAAAATTGAATCCTGAAAGAAGTTCTTGCCAACGTGCCCGTTTACTTGATAATTTCGGTTGGGACATGAAGTGACTCGCTGCGGTATTATCTGTCTTCACAATAAATGGAGACCCAATTTCGGTTGGGACATGAAGTGACTTATCATAGTGTTATATGTCTTCACAATAAATGGAGACCCAAACAAATAGTGACACCATCCCCTAAGGTAATGGACCACCAACAACAACTCATTTTCATGCGCCAAGTAACGACGTTCTGCTTGGTTCAGCTTTCGGCTCTCATATGCTACCTGATGTCCTTCTTACATAAGAACTCCACTAAGTGCAAAATCTGAAGCATCGATATGAACTTCGAATGATTTAGTCATATCTGGTAAGGCTAACACCGAGTTCGTCCACATAGATTTTTTCAACTTTTCGAAAGCATTTTAGCATTGGGATAACATGTCTCAATCCTTATCCTTCTTTGTCAATTCAGTAAGTGGTAGTGCAATTTCTGAGTACCGTTTCACAAATCTTCGATAGTAATTACATAAATCGAGAAATGAATGTACATCGTAGACATTCTTTGGTGGTTGCAAATCTTTGATGACTGTAACATTCTTCGAATCCGTGCGTATTTTGCCTTGTTCGAAGATGTGACCTAAGAAACTGATAGACGTTTGAGCGAATGAGCATTTAGACGGTTTGGCATAGAGTTCATTCTTTCGTAATTGATTGAAAACATGCCTTACATGTTGCACATGTTCCTCCAATGTCTCATTATAGATTATTATGTCGTCTAGGTACACCACCACAAAATCGTCAAATAACCCGTGAAGTACCTGATTCATCAACGCCTCACATGTTGCACATGTTCCTCCAATGTCTCACTGTAGATGACTATATCATCCAGGTACACAACCACAAAATCATCCTAAAACCCATGAAGTACCTGATTCATCATCGTACAAAATGTTGTTAGAGCGTTTGTTAAGCCAAAATGCATCAATTTAAATTCAAAGGCTTCATATCTTGTTATCACCGTGGTCTTTGCTTCATCTTTCTCTTTGATCCGAACTTGCCAATATCCAGACCCGAGATCAATCTTTGTATAATATCTCGCCCGACTCAGTCGATCGAAGCAATCCGCGACCAGCAAAATAGGATAGCTATTCTTCACAATGATTTTGTTTAAGGGTCGATCGTCATAGCACATTCTAAGAGAACCATCAGCCTTTTTCTGAAACAATACGGGAACTCCATATGGTGATTTTGCAAGCACGATAATCCCATTTTTCAACATTTCTCCCAATTCTTTTCGAAGCTCTTCAAGCTCAGGCTAAGACATACGATAGAATACCTTAGCGGGAGGTTTGACACTTGGAATAAGTTCAATCTCATAATCAATCGCCCTCGTTGGTGGCAATTTCTTTGGTAACTCATCCAACATGATGTCCTCAAATTCCTTAATAAGCCTTTTGACAAGTTTTGGAATAGGGCTAGTCGCCTCTTCAATCTTCTCTAATCAAAGAGTGCACAAAAATGAGGGTTCATTTCTTTTGAAACACTTACCAAATTGCATGGTCGAGATACTCTTATCGCCCATATTTCTAACTTGTGCAGTGATAACGTACGGTTTACTACCCATCATCATTAATGAATCGGAATATGACAACATTACTGTCTTAGTATCCCGAAGAAATTCCAATCCCAGAATGAGCTTGCACTCATCAATCTGAACTGCTGACAAGTTCATCTTTCTTTTGAAGGGACCTACTTTGATCGATACAGATTTCGCTACTCCTACTATTGGTTGAGCAGGTGAGTTGATTGCTTTAACTTTCCCTTTACCTATCTCCAAAGCAAGTCCTAGCCGCTCTACTTCAGCACCGGTATCTATCATAGCCCTTATTGGCTTCCCATTGATCTTTACATCAATTTATATTAGGCTTTTCGCCCCACAATTGTGAGCCTTCGATTCTTCTACCTTTGGCTCTTTCGAGGGACCATATTTTCTTTTAGTAACTCGGTGCGATAGTGTATTACACCGATGTGAGAATGCACCAACTACATCCTCATCCTCTTCGGAGTCGGTCTCTTCATGACAGTTAGCTTGTGGGGTACCTTGCTTTGAATTGGTTCCACCACCTGCTAGTTGACAATATCCATTCACCATCAATTTTTGAGGACACTCTGCCACCCGATGTGGTCCTTCACAAAAAAAGCACTTCAATTTAGGACTGGCATCAGATATGCCCTCCTTTACTTTTCTTTGGTTCTAATTGTTAATCTAACAGTTGCCTTGATAGACTCCTTCTCGATTCTAAGAGTAACGCTCTTCCCCATTTGAGCTCGAGCTAGGTCTATGAGGTCTATTTCTACCTCCAATAGACTCACTATTTCCCTNTCCCAAGAATATATTCTGATCATGTTGGCCCGAATATCAGCATACTTTGTTCGCCACCATAGTTTTGCATCTCCATCAGGATACATGGTAGCTGTTATGACCTTTCTTACTTCGTCTTCGATTGAAACCGCAAGAAAGTATTTTTCCATATCAAATAAGAAGTTCTCGACTTCTTTTGCATCGTGTACCCTTCCGTAGATACATGGTTCCTGAATTCTGAGCCTGGGAACATACTCTTGTGAGGGGGCTTGCCCGTTGACAACCGCACGTTGAAGTACTCGTAATTGAGCTCCCAACGCTTCCATTTCATCTTGCAGATCAGACATGATTGCAACAATTTTAGTCATTGTTGTGCAAAGCCTTTCGGCTTCCATCCAGTTGGATTTGTAATTCATGAATTTTCATCTCTGCCACCTCGACTTTTTCCTCGAGGCCCTCCACAAATAGTATAACCTAGTAGTAGTCTCATTAAGCACATCCACGCGCTGTTTCGTGCTCCTTTTTTGAGGATCTACGACTTCTATAGTGTTTGTGTAATTGGATCCATAGCTTTCTCATCAAGGGTCGTGAGCCATAGCTCTGATACCAATTTTCACGGGGTGCCTTTCTTTTTGGCACAGAAAGGGATATCGTGCGACAGTAGTCTACTCTGCGAGACTCATTTCCGTTGTTTCTCGATTACAATTTGTAGAAAGCCTGCAACAGAAAATTTAGATGCATTGAAAGTAAATTGATCGTTGATTGATGAAAGTGAAAATTACAATTGATGAAAGTAGGAAATTACAATTGTTGGTATAGGGGGCGACCACCAATAAGTTTTAAAAGATTTTTGAATGATTAATATCCCCAATAATAGCTTGCGAAAGAAAAACCTCAGTAGACGTTTAAATGACGAGAAATCATACTAAATGTTTACAAATATCGAAACTATTACAATGGAAAGAAAATTACAACTCAAACTGAATATTTACAATGTGCGGCCGAATTTGAGCAAGCTGCAACTGCGATTGGGTTAAAAGTCTAGGTAAAGTTGCGGTCTTTGATATCTCGTCCTGCCAAGAATTTATATGGATAGAGATAGAGTGAAACTATCTCAATTTTTACTTATTTTATTCATTTTTTAATAGAATTTAAATTTGACGAAGCAATAATGTCCCTATCCACGTCCCTACCCATCGGACGGGACAAGGCAAAACGGGTGGGGAACAAAATATTTTGTCATCCGTGCATTTTACTGTTATTTGTAACGCAAAAAAAATTGAAACCAAAAAAAGAATGAAAATATTTTGTCAACTAAAAAGCAAGGATAAAATATTCATGTTTGGGAAGTGTTAAAACGGTTTAATCATACCACAATAATGAGGCCAACTTCGTTCAAGTAACAAGGCAATTCATTTCCTCCATAACAAAAATACAAGCGTACATAACGTATAACAATACCCAAGGCAAGCGTATAAAGTTGGGGAACAATCCCAAGACAGAAACATTAGAAACTCAGTCCTACAATGTCTAATTTCAGATGATGTCGCAAGGGATCTTCACATGATATCCAATCTTGTTACATCATTGGTAGTACATGAGCTGCTGAGCAGCAGCGACATTCTGGAAACTACCATCGTAGGCTTGGCTGGCACCAGCACCCATTCCCAAAGATGCTTGATTCAGAGAATTTTGCCCCTGGGTATGCATGAACGCCTGTACGCCACCCATCTTGCTCATTGCAAGTTGACGCTCATAAGCCAGAAGGTCTGTGGCTGAAATGCCTGGGAAAGGTGCAGGTGCAGGTGCAGGTGGTGGGAGCGGGTTTGAGCTCGTTCCAGGTGGAGTTGGCTTGTTACCCCATGAACACTGTGGGCATTTGGAAAACATTGATGAGATCATGCTAAAAATATAAACAAAACAAGCTAAGACATACCTTGATTTGTTTACCACAGATAAATGATTGATTATTTCCCAGTGAAATGGCCATAGCGGCTTCTGCATGGCTACCATATCTTACAAATCCAAATCCTTTGTCGCGCTGAACCCTAACTTCCTCGATTGCTCCAGCACCAAGGGAGTGGAAGTGGCGATGGAGGTCAACCTGGGTAACCTGGTAAAGCAAATGCAAGGGAAATTATGCATGAAAATTAATTTCAATGTTTTTGAAGATAATTAATATTTTTTGCATGGGTAGGGGTTAAGGATTAAAAGAAGCTTTATAAGAAAATGCCTATGCAGAGTAAATGGGGATAATGTGCATATTCATTGCAATAATCTTCCAAAGCCCACACCGTTTATCAAATATTCCAAGGTTTACATTTTACCAACTTGAAAAGAAACATTCTTTTCAAATAAAAACCTGATGCGGAATACACAAGCCATGTGAACCACTCAGAGTGAGACATCAAATAGAATCAAAAGTTTCTTACCTCTGGAGCAAGATTACCAACATACACGGTGGTGTATTGAGGGTTATTATCAGGGATATCACTATTTGTTGCCTCGTTAGCATCTTCTGTAAAAGCAAAAGCCAGCAAATATGATTATTTTTATCTCAACGGGAATCAACTAGTAAATTAATAATTGCCTGTAAGTTAATTCCAAAATCACACCTGAAGCATAGTTCTCAGAAAGAAATGGAATATAAGAAATAACACGAACTCGTATACAGTTTTTCTTATATGAATTAACATGGCAAGGCCTCAAATTACTTAGTTTCAAGCAACAACTCAAGCAACAACTACCATTTAGCCTTTTCTACGAGGCCATCTTTATATGTTTCTCATAATCTTCCTGTCAATTTTTCTTGCTCACCTAAGGTGCCATTCGTTAGTTCCATTACGCTTTTAGCATCTGAATTCTGCTTGTCATCACTGGTTCCAGCACCTTTCGTGGCCCAATTACAACGTATCTGCCTGCTGCCAAGCCATTTTCCTGAGTAGCAGTCGCCGAGAATGGTAGTGAGTAAACAATTACCTATTCCTTCTGTTCATGATAAATAATATACATAAAAGAAATTGTGCAAAATGAAAGACGAAAAGGGTAGATTTGTTTGAGGAAATCTGGACCTCCCAAGATATTAGTTATTCAAGAAACCAATAAACATAACATCCGGAAACAACTTAGGTAGCCATTAGAATTGAATTTAGCGGCTAGAAGGAAGTTTTTTTTTTTTTTTTTAATTTGGAGACATGATTAAATGTTGACACTACCACAAGGCTTTCGGTTCTATGGAATGGGGAAACTACGGAATCTTTCACATCTGGCAGGGGCCTAACCAATAGTGTAGGACCATAGAGCAATTTCTTTTATATGTGCAAATTTTTCCTCGGCTAAATTTTAGTAATATGATTGCATGATTGATTTAAATATTGTATGTCAATTAACCTAATTAATTGGTTAATTATTATAATTAGAGACGTTCATTTATTAAAATTAGAAACACTATTTATGCTCGTGTAATTAGCAATCTAATAATTTTATATGGTATGTTAGAATATTTATGTTGGCATAATTTAATCAAATGTTTAATTATATGGCAATAAGTACTAGTGGCAATAATATAGTTAATTGGGTAATTAGTTGAGTGATTAATTACACCGTGGAAAAACGTGTAGTATTAATAAGGGAATGAATGTTTGTACCAAAATAAGTAATAGAGTCAAACCTTAGAGACTCATATTTATATTCCTCATATCACTTACACTCACACGCAACTAAGCTTGTACTTTACACCTTTCTTTTAACTCATCCTCTACATACACTTTCACATTACAAAGTTTAGCGCACACAGGGTGTCCAAGGAATTTTGAAGTGAAAGTCTAGCGAGACGATTTCCTCAATTTACTTTGATCTTCTGCATGCAACAGTAAGTGTAGTAGTACGGATTGTTCTTTCATTATTTAAATTACGAAAATTTATATTATGAATATGATGATACGGTCCATACGGAAATCCAAGTTATGATTATGATAAGGGACATATATGTGTAAGTTCAAATGACCGAAATTTAGTAGCGTTACGCACAGAAATTATAGTCCAGAAGTTCAGATTTTAATTCCCCGTATCTCCTTATGTATGTTATGATTTTACTTATTTAAATAGATGAAATTAATTATTACTCATTTATTAAGATTTATGTCTCATCTATATATGTTTAAATTTTTATAGGTAACTAAAAAGGTCGGTTCAAGGCAATTGAAAGTGGATTGTGCTTGCATGGGTGAAAATGAAGAATTAATTATGTAGTTAAGGATTTTAATAATGTTCATTGTATTTCTCTTAAAACTAATTTTAAATTCTCGCAGGTTAAGAAAGCATTATCTTTTTTCTTTTGATTATGGAGGTACTCTTTTACGGTACATGTATAATGATTCCAAAGGTAAAATTTGGATCGTTATAATAAACCTCCAAAAACAAACTATAAGTTTGTATAATAATTCGAATTCATTTCTTGTTTAGATTATAAATACAAGAGTATTTCCACATTTTTCTCCTACAACTAAGGAGCATAATTAGCTCCATGTCCCCCTATCCCCTAAAATAACTAAAATATAACTAGAATAATAACCCAATGCTATCGTATTTGACTAAATCAAAATTAAATAAAAACATAAAAATACAAACAAAATAAACTTTAACATTTACAGTTTTTTTTTTTTTTTCTTTTATGTTCTATAAAATTTTGAATTTGTGGTGGGTTGTTATTTGTAGTTGTATTGTAGTTATAGGGATATGGAGCAAATTAATGCTTCTTAGTTGAGGTGATAGAGCTTTGTATTGTAGTTGTAGGGATATGGAGCAAATCAGTGCTCCTTAGTTGAGGTGATAGTGCTTGCATTGTTTTGTATTTAAGCTTTGTTTGCTTTTGAAGGTTATTGTTTCCTCGAAAACCAATACTTTGGAGGTTGGTCCAAGTTTCCTAGAATTAATGTATCCATTTCACTTATCATTTTCTATTTTGTTTTAAATTTACGAACAAACTGTGTTAGTAACATAATACTATTGTATTTTCATGCCAATGGTAATAATACAGTAGTGCAACGACAACTTATGAAGAGAGATTGACGACATTGTTCTCACCAGTTAAATCATTTATTGCACTTTGGGCATCCTGAACAAAAAATCAAATAATTGAACTTGAGTAGAAGGAAGTCAGAGTATATAAAACAAAGTCAAACATAAGGCAAGGAAACCTACCTGCTGATTCCGAAACGAAACAAATCCGAACCCCCTAGAACGTCCAGTCTTTTGATCCCACATAACCTTAGCATCACTGCGAACAATGCAAGACAATTAACATATTTGGAAACAAACTAAACAATTCATTAATCAGAAAACAATGGTAAACTACTTTTTTTACCAAAAATTTCAATATATGCAAGGGGAAATACCAAGTTTGAACTCATTTTAACCACTATATGGAAGTTAAATCGAGAAAGGGATCGTGCACAAGGAAAGAGAGAGAAGTTCTTACGAACAACTTGGGTAAACAGAAAAGCATGCATGCAACATGGCATCAGTAACTTCAGGGCTGAGATCACCAACAAAAATGTTGTAGTGGCCTGCATAGAAGGTATAAAATATTAATACACCAAGATCACAAGACAGCATCTTGTTATATGCTAAGCAACTAAGAAACACGATAAGAAGACATTATTAGGGACCTACTTGATGTGTCCTCTCTCTGACCACTGGCATATGCCCAGTTGACTTTGATAGGCTGCCCAAACCTGGAAATCACAGGATAAGATATTTATCTACGTCACTTTAGAAATTGAATCTATGATAAGGGGGTTAATATATAGAGCTCGTTATCCATGAGAAAAGGGAGAAGACTTCCTACTTACAGATGCCTTCCATTAAGGCTTATAATAGCAAGGCTGGCTGATCTACGATCAAAGTAGTGAATAAACCCATAGGATGACTGCACAGAGCATAAAAGAAGATAAAACAACAATATCTGAAGGGACAGAAATCCACGTCAGCGCAGAGTAACATAATCATGGGAAACAAGATGCATGTGAACAGAACCTTTTCTTTTCTAATAAGCTTGCAGCCTTCCACAGGACCAGTACTTGCAAAAACCTCTTGAAGAAGTGGTTCAGTCACCTGTGTGTGAACGTTCCCAACAAACCTGAAATTTTTCAAAAATAAAAACCCTAGATGTTTTAAAAAGAAAATAAAACAAAGAAAAATGGACGAATGTGTAAGAATCTCAAGATATTACAACGTGAGATGATAATGACTAAGAAAGCACCAAGGCAATCGAAACACATAATAATGACTTGAAAAATCTTATGGTCCGTTTGATTGCAATAATGGAATTTGGGTGGAAAAAAATGAATTCTATGGAATTGAATTGTCTAGAACTTGTTTTACTGAAAATTGTCAATTAATTGTGTTTGATTGGTATAATTTTCTACCTGAAAAATATTGAAATTTTGGATCTTTTGGTGTTCGTTTGACTTTATTGTCTATTAAAAGGATATAATTTGTTTCCATTGCCAAAAAAAACGTAGAAAACCAATTCCCACCAAAGTGGTGGGAATTGATTTATATCAAAAAGAAAGAAAATGTGGCAAACCAATTAACTGGAAAACGTTTTCCATCAAACACTCCAAAGACACCAACAATTTAGATAGCTTTATGTTTCGTAAGGTAGATAGGTCACAAAAGGCATGCAGCAGAACATTATTGGAGGAAAAATTCATAAAAACACAAGATATTTGGAGGGATTTTAAACATTGCATGAATATGCAAATGATGCGAGCACACAACAAAGATAAAGAACAAAAAATTAAAATAACAAACATGTTAACAACACTCACACACTGCGGCATGTATTTGGATCAAACCCCAGAGGCAGATTTCCACTTGGGATTGGCTCAATCTGCAACATAAAAAGTCAAAGAAGAAAAAGCTAATAAAAATAAACAGAAAAAGCTTCCCGATTTATCTACTGCTCACAACAACAGTCATTCCCATGGGGAAAAAAACTATAAAATAAAAAAAATCTATATGTAAGGTACCACTGACATAATTTTATAAATGGAAATAAGAGAAGATTTGAAATGCAACAGCGATTTCACAATGAAGAATGGTGTAAATCTGCAAATTTGTTCATTTTTGAAAAATAAAACAAAACCTGTACCAAACAAATCAAGAAATCTTTGAAAACCCTATAGGCTATAAACCACAGTCCACATATTACAGAATATTACTCTTCCAAACTTCTTTCTCTCAAGTCTCCAATCAAGCAACAAAAAGTTAGTTCGTAATAGAAAAGTTCACAAATCTGAAACTACAATATAACCTTTATCCTCAGTATAAACAATACCAGCCAATGAAGTGGCATTGCTCTAATTCCTGTTCTCTATTTACGAACTTCAAAAAACTATTCCTGACACTTAAAAATACTTATCAAAGCAAAAGACAACCAATATCACAAATAGTTGCAAGACTGCTTCACACAAATGATGTCAGAATCCAATACTAAAACGCATAGAAGTGAATTCAGTGAATGTTAATGGTTTCTAAATAAAGTAGAGCTGATACCAGGAAAGTCAATAATTGCAGAAAATTAAAGCAAGACCTTAAATTGCAGATTAAGATTGCCGCATGAGTGACGAATAAAAATATACGTGTTACCATTCATAAAAACAAAACTATAGTAATTACAATAAAAAATAGAAAATATAAACAGGCATCAACGAGAAATTCCTTCATGACCTGCAAACTTGACACTTTCAAAATGAAATCGGAAATTTACCCACCAAAAAGAAACATTTGATGCAGCAAGAGAAAAACTTGAAAAGTGATAAAATTGAAAGCAATTTCAAACATATTGAGAATACGGAAAATTGTCGAAATTGAGGGAATGGAGAAATATTAATAATACCAACATTGAAATATGCAAAACATGAGAATAACAAAATAATAGGTTGATTACAAAAAGTTTAAAAAGAAAAACAAATGAAATGAAACCTGAGGAGCAGCTGCTAAGAGGCCAGGGTGGTAAATAGACTGCTGTTGAAGTAAAGCCTGCTGCATCAAGGCCTGGTGTTGCTGTTGCTTCAGCCTCGGGTTCTGCATGCTCGTATATTACTATTATAAATTCCAAAAACCCGATTCAATTGATTGATCGGGGAAAAATTCTAGGGTTCGTAAAGGGGGTAGCCGGTAGGGTTCCCAGAGTGGGAAGATAAAAGCAATAAAAAAAAATCAAACGAGAAAATTATGCCTCAGTAACAGGGGGCAACGTACCCTTTCATAGTTTCATTGTGAAAATTGATTTTATTTTTTCATTTTTTTTAGAAAAATTGTGAATTTTCGTATAAATTATTTTATTAAAAAAATATATTATTAAAATGAATTTGAAGATAAATAATTTTAAAAAATGAAACAAGAGGCTAAATTCTCCTCACAACCACTCCGGATCCAAGTTACCATTACTTGAGTAATTTGAAACTCAAAAGAGTGTCATAATTTGAATAAATGATCTCGCGTAGGGAATTAAGTGTTAATTCTTCGTTGAATTTAAGAGCTTGTTTGGTAGAAATTTTTGGAGGAAGAATTGATTTTTGAATAGTGATATNTGTTTGGTAGAAATTTTTGGAGGAAGAATTGATTTTTGAATAGTGATATGATAGAAAATGTGTGATTGAAAAAGAAGAAAAAATTATTGATGTGATGAAACATATTATTTTATTAAAGAATGTGTGGTTGAAAATGAGAATTGATTTGAGAATCAATTCTCAAATCAAAGAAAAACACCCCCAAAATATCAACTCCCCTTTTTCCAACCCTTTAACCGTAGTTTTCTCGGTCTTTCAACTTTTACAAGAACCCTTCATTGGGAAAGGAGAGAATACACTAGAAAAGCAACGAACAAAAATTCAACAAGTTAAAATTAAAAAATGGTTCTCGAACAAGGGCTAAACAATGAATCCAAGCTTGTTAAATACACAGCGTCAATTAAACAATGACAAGCCAATATGAATATTTCATATTTCGGGAGTACTAGAAATTTTTCCTTTTTGTAAAAGGAAAGATCTTGTATTTTCTTCTGAAAGTGATTGAGAAAACCGAGTATTTCCGACTAGATTATCTCAACTTCACTGTCAAAACTTGATTAACTGGTACCACAATGATCTACATTTGACTTCCCATATAGTATCCCTCACTTCTATCCATCAGTGAAGAAGATAAGCACACATCATATTCAAAACAAGGACTAATTATATATTTCTCTATCTTGTAGAACTTAATTTATGTGGTACAGTTAACTGTGAAGTGCAAAAGAAAAGAGAGAAGCAAAACGACATTCCAGCAAGAAATATTTCCAGCTCAACCGCGATAATATTTGCGGAAAGCTCAGCATGACTTCGAAGAATTGACATCGCTGAGATACACATTAATCCATGTCAAGGAAATCCATCCGCTTTTTCATAGTACCCTTGAGATCTGAAGCCACCTCTTCTGCTTTCTGTGCCTGATGAAAATAGAAAACGACGTGGCTAAAATAGTTGCAAGTGTTTGGATAAATAACACCATTAAAGTATCATGAACTCTTACCCTTTTTATCTCCTCCACAGAAACGCAAGTCATATGCGAGGGAAGTTCTTCTTTCTCCAAATCCTAATCAATCACGTCTGATTAATAAAATAACCCAAAAGAAAGCAGAACACTCGCAAAGGTTACTACCAAAACAAAACAACACATACCAGTTCGCCAATCAACACAACATTTTCCCCACGGATTATGTATAGACCTAATGGGATGTCACAGTAAAGATCGCCAACAATAACGCGCTCGCATGCACCTTCTAGGACAGCATTGGCTATAAATTTGATATTCAAAGTTCAGTCAGACACTGAATAACAAAAATATAGGGGAATCAAAGGACTACTATCAACAAACGTTAATATCAATACCAAATTGATCAAAAGACCGGAGAGTCCCCAATAATTTCCGTCCATCTCGCAGCAAAACAAGGAGTTTCTCTGGAAAATATCAGTTGTAAGAAAGAAAATGTTGCACCTCCCAATCTTAGGCAATGTAAACTTTAACGACATTTACGTGCAATAAATACTGAACATTTTACCAATAAACAAACCTATACATAATATTCCCATGTCTAACTCCGTGCAACAAAAATTTCTTAACAAGAAGACTTCAAGTTATATGTATCAATTTCACATCATAAACTTGATTCCAGTGATTAGGCCATCACAATATGAAATCGAACAGTGTTGTTTAGGTGACTTGTATATTTATGTAAACAGGGCTAGTTGATGGAGCGGATGGGATGGGATAGGACGAGATCGGACGGGCTGGGCCTACCGGCCCTATACTGTCCCGTACAGTGGGCGTATTGCTGAACCACTTAAATTTCTCTGTGTCGATTTTACTGTTCTTCTTTTTTATTTTGCTGTTCCAACTTGCACAACAAGTTTGAATCGGTTTTAGTTTTACTTTCTTCTTGTAGTTTTCTATATGCAAAAACAACAAAGGAAAATAACTAACCAAAATTCTTGCAAATATACCAAATGAAAGACAGCGGCATGAAGTATAAATCTCTAAAAGGAACACTAAAAGCCCCAAATTGTATTAAAACTTAGAGAAAAAGATTCCACCAAGAACATCGAGAACAAATGGCACAGTTTATCAGCAAAGTAAAAATCATACCCTAAAATGACCAAAATTTTGAATTTAAAGATCAAGAAATAACCAAATCGAACATTAGATTTATCATTCTAAATTTAGATTATAAAGATAAGGCAAAAGAAAAAGAAAAAAATCAAGAAAAACTTACTGTCAAGATAGCTGGCAAGAGAAGTTGAGAGGTAAATATCTTCTGGGCCTGCCCAAGACATTGGTGAGTTCACAGAAAGACTTCAACTTCAACGCAATTACCACAAAGAACACACAATTTCAATGTCAATGAAACAAAATTGCATTGGCAGCTCAGATATGCGCTCTTTTACCCACTTCACCGCAAAAATTGAAAAAATTGAAAAAATAATATGCTAAAACCCTAATTCAAGAAAACAAAAATTTTGGGAATTGGGGAATTCGTGTTGACTTTTTGTTGAAGTTCAGAATTCAGATCTGGAAAAATCTAAACTTTGGCTACAGAAGGTTCAGCGATAGGCACGAAGCATGATGTAAATCGGGTTCGTGAATGAGAGTGTTTTTATGTATTTTTGTTTGTCCACGGTGCACTTCGTTAGGAGAAAATTTTAGCTGCAGTCCAATTTTTACTTGAATAATGTTACGTACTTCAACCTAATTTAGATGGAATATACAAGTAAATGACCCGAATTCAAGGCCAAAATTCCAAAGTAACCTTAAACTAACCCATTTCACTATTCAA